ATAAGCAGTAACCTTTTCAAAGAATGTTAAAAGATTTGTAAGGTAAGATTTTCCCTTAGTGAAACCATGTTGACTATCTAACAAAATTCTAAAATTTGTTAAATGACTTTGCAAAGTATTTTTTAATAGACTTTCCAAAATTTTTCTCACAACTGATGTAAGACTAATGGGTCTATAATTACCATCCATTGCAAAAAGCTCCCTTCTCCCACTGAACTGATCCTACAAGTACAACTAGCTAATCTGCTCATCCTTACATACTAGCCTAAGCCTAGCATTTAGCCCTAATGAACTACTTATAACTTCATCACCACAATTAATTCTGGGCAGTATCCCTGACAAAATTAAATTATGGCCGTTTTCTTTAAGTGCCTTTATCAACCCCTTATACTTATTAATTAGCTCCTCTGACCTACCTTTCCCTACATCATTAGCCCCTACATGCACTACAAAAACTGCATCTCTGCTACTCCCTTTGGTATATATCTTGCTTTGTGATTTATATCCTCCACTTGTGGCCCTGGTTAGCATAATCTGATTCTTTTCTCCCTATTTACCCCACAGACTATTTTATCCACATGCCTTATCAAGGAATCACCTATAACATTAACCTCCTTATCATCCACATCCTTCTCTGACTCTTTTGTTTTCCTTCCCTCTAATAGTTCCCCATCTGCAGAAGCCAAGGGCTGAAATTTGTTGCTCAACAGAATAGGCTCATTATAACTAAATTCACCACTTTAAGCCCTAACTGTACTCTTTCTAACTTTCTTAAAGTCATTGTTACATTCTAGTATGGAACATGTATGTAAAACATTGATAACAATCTGTGCCTATCAGCAGTTTTAACACAATTGGATCAATTGGTGAAACTCAACAGTACTGAGAATCAAAAATGGTGTGTGTAACAAATATGAATATTAAACCAAACATTATCTAAAAATGAAAAAACCAACATTATAAATTAGACAAGGTATGTATATGAACTAACAAAGTTATCGATGAAACATATAGGCAATTTTAAATAAAATAGTAAATTTAAGTGTAAAATATGTCTTAGCTTACAGCTGAAAAAACACAGTATCTAAGTTAGGTAAAAGAAATCAGTTTACAGAAAAGGTAAGAGTATTTTTACACATATTCTACCTCTGAAGATGATAAGTTCCATAAGATCCCTGTTACTAACTCTTTGATTTCATTATCTGGTGTCTTCTGGAGTAATCTTATTAACACTGGGATCCCTCCTGCATTCTTAATAGCCCTCTGAAAGATAAATACTATAATTTTTAGTTTTAACAAAAATCAATTTCTTTATAAAGCAGATAATTTTCCATATATATGCACCTTTTCTTTGTCTCTGATGAAGATATCTGTCAAAAGCACTAGGGATTTTACTGTTTGTTTTGTTTATACAATTTACCAGCATTTTTGATTCTGTGCATTTTTTTAATATTGTATACACTGCATACAGTAGTAATATAACTTAGCCACATACATGTATATCAAGAGCAAAATTACAAGGAATTGTGTTTCATTTCAGTGAAAATTCTAATTCATAAAATATGGAAACTAGCATCTTAGTTACTAAAATCGACAAAAAAAACAAGAATCCTTGTGGTATCTGTATTTATGAAGAGACCTACATTTTCAAAACAGCTAGATAAGCAACTGATTAAACTGTTGTACATGAAATTTTGTTTTATTACAAAGACAAAAACACTAACCCTCTTGCTACAGGTACATCAAAGTGTGCACATCATGACTTTTTAGTTACATTCAAAATTTAATTAGATTATCATCAATTTATACAAATAAACTTGGCATCAAAATAAAGTTAATAAATAAAATTTTAATATCATATAAGTTTGAAGTTCTTAATTGTATATGGAAATATTTAGAAAAATCCTCAATCTCCCCTAGTATGAGAATTGCGACATTTGTTCTCTAAGTCTTCTCTCTTCTCCAATTTCTTTAACACACCTCTCTGAAGTAAGGAATTTAAAGTAAATTACTCATTACAATATAGATAATACAAAAGCAAAGTCTAATTTTTATAGCCTTCACTGTTATTTGTTAATGAAGTCAAAAATTAGAAAATCAGACCCACTTGCCACACCCATCTGTTACATCCTCTCTTTCACAAATTGCCAGTAGTTCTCTTTGACATTTTATACTATTGTTGGTTATACATGACTGTTTCAGTTGTTCAATGCAAGTGTTAAGATTAAGATAGTTTATAAAGCTCGAGTGTTAAATTTAGTTATTTTTAGAAACAATAGTTTGTTGCAAATTTGCTTATGTAACTGTTTACAAATTATAAGTTGTGTAATTCAATAGTTATGAATTGGTGATTGTTATATTATTGCACCATGTTACTAGAACCTTCTGAGCTTTTATCGTTGTTTTCATTGAATATTATTGTTTAATAATATCTAGTAGTGTGTGGAACATTCTAGAACTCTGTTGGGGCATAAATATACATTGCAAATTTAGTTCAAAAGTTAGACAGATATAGACTGTGTGATTGTGAGTTTAACCAAAAAGAGCATATCGTGGGGATTTTTAAAGTCAAATTATCACAAACTGTATTGTAATAACAGAGCAGGTAGAAAAATTTGTTTTGTCAATTGTGTTCTAAAGTAACTGAACAAGCCTGTGTATACTTTGACGAAAAGAGACAATTATTTAAAGCTCTGGATACAACTGTGATAATTAACTATGTAACGAACATTTGTATGTACACTTGACTTGTTTGAATATATTATTTTAAAACAAATGTATTGTGTGCTGTTTGTTTATTGTTGCAGTTTATCACCAACAAGTCACGAACGCCTACTCTAAAGAATCTTCACAAGGTATGCTCATGTGTTATAATATTGAATATGGTAACATGAGCTACACATTTGCCAAGTGATTTACAGCTTGTGTGGTGGGAATGTTAGTTAGACATGGTTGAAAAGCAATAAAACAATAAAATTAAATACAAATAGAAGTAGACTATCATGAGCTTTAAGCTATTTACAATAAACAATAGTAGTCTGCTGTTATAATTTGCAATCATTCTAGAAAGAAAAATGGTAATTTAGATTTATTTCATATTTTTTTAGAGTGGTGACAAGTTTGGTCAAATTGATTGCAGTTACACAAATGAAACTTGAAAATTTTCAGATGAAGAAAAATTGTAAGTCACTCAGTTAACCTGTAACCTAAGCTACCATATGAATTATGTAACACATGAGCTAATAATGAGCATACCTCGTGAAGAATTGGTTATAAGTAATACAGTATAAAACATCAGACAGAACTATTGGCAACACTCTGACTCCATATATTTAAAACAAATCTTTAGTGCACAAAAGACTTGTAATATTTACTGAAAGCTTGCCAGATTTGGTGAGGATACACAAAACATATCAAAAGTTATAGTATGGAAACTTTGATGGTCACTAGATTGGTCACATTAACTGAGCCTGTTTGGAAAGAGTTAGTTATCTTTCAACTAAGGTTAATGAATAATGAGCCATCAACACTATTTGCTTAAAATGTATTTTTCTAACTAGCTTTCTCTCTACGGGTTCAGTCAATTTGGTCCAAGTATGTGACTCCAAAGTGACTTTTAGTTTCCATACTATAACTTTTAATATGTTTTGTGCATTTTCATGAAATTTTGAAAGCTTTCAGTAAACATTACAAGTCTTTTGCATACAAAATATCAGATACTCTTTTAATGAAGTATTTTCACTAACAATTTATTTGTGTATATATGGAATCAAAGTTTTGACTGCTCCAAGTGCAATTTGATTTTCATGTTAAGATTAAAAACACTTTTCTTCACCTGACAATTGTCAAATTTCATTTGCATAATTTCTAAAACCTCCTAAATATATATATATCAAACATTTATTTCAGTAAAACTTTATATTCTATCTGTTATTTTCTCTACCCTAACTTTGTACCCATTCAGTTAATTTGACTGACCTCATAAGCATCATAGAAAAATACAAAATAAATCTAAATTACCCTTTTTCTTCCTAGAATGACTGCACATTGTAATAGGAAAGTAAAGCTGTTTATCCTAAGTAGCTTAAAGCTCATAACAGTATACATCTGTTTCTACTTAAATTTTATTGTTTTATTGCCTTTTGAACTGTGTCTAACTAATAATCCAACCACACAGGTTGTGAGTCACTCAGCAAACCTGTAACCTAAGTTACCATATCGAATTATGTAACATATGAGCTACTAATGAGCATGCCTTGTGAAGAATTTTTATTATTTGTTTTTTCTTTATCTTACCTAATCTAACCTTATCTAATAAGTTTCTAATTTTTATGTTTTAGTTATTTATATGATAATAAATAAAGAATACAAAGGAAAAAACAAGAATTATAGTATTTACCTAAGTCATTTTTAGTGTCAACTGTCAATGAAATTTAAACCTACCTTTTCATACTAATGGCACTACTACACTAAATATTTTTTATTTAATTAAATAATGCACTTTAAAACACAGAATAATGACAAGCTAAAAGCAGACAATGTTCTAAAACTATCATCATTTTTCTGGCTTTTTAACTATGTGATATGAGTGTTTAAAACTTTAGCTAATCTAGTTGATGTGATTCCTGTGAGAACAAATTTGAAACTGAACCTGGAAATAGACAATTTTCTGTATAGAAAACAATGTAATATAATATGTCATTTTATAGATTAAAACTTTGGCTTTCTATTAGTTATAAATAATATAGTACAAGACATCAGACAGAACTATTGGCAATTTGTGAAAGAGAGGATGTGACAGGTGGGCATGGCAAGTGGGTCTGATTTTCTAATTTATGGCTTCTTAAACAAATAAGATTGAAGGCTATAAAAATTATGTTTTGTCTAAGTAGTATCTATATCATAATGAGTAATTGACACTAAATTCCATATTTCTCAGACATGGCATGGCTAAGTGGTTTGGAGGCTCGACTTGCAACCTGAGGGTCGCAGGTTCAAATCCCCATCCCACTAAACATGCTTGCCCTTTCAGCCATGAGGGCATTATAATGTGATGGTCAATCCCACTATTCACTGGTAAAAGAGTAGCTCAAGAGTTGGCGGTGGATGGTGATGACTAGCTGCCTTCCCTCTAGTCTTTCACTGATAAATTATGAATGGCTAGAGCAGATAGCCCTCATGTAGCTTTGAGTGAAATTCAAAAACAAATAAACAAATCATATTTCTCAGAGAGGGTAAATAAATTAGAGAAGAGGGAAGACATAGATAGGAAATATCACAATTCTAATACTAGAGGCGATTGAGTATTTTTTCAAATATTTCCTTATAAAATTAAGAACTTTAAACTTATATAATACTAAAACTTGATTTCTTAACTATGTTTCGGTGCAAAGTTTATTCGTATGCATTGATAATAAAGTAGCTTAACTAAATTCTGAATGTTACTTTCTAAAAAGTCGTGACATGCACACTTTGACCTGCCCATGTCTAGAGTATTAAAGTTAGGAAAGTAATATATTTAAAGGATTGATAATCTTTCAGTTAAATACTATTTATATAATTAATTATTAACTTCAGAAAATATTTCTGATTTTTATGTAATAAGTAATCTTACCAAGGAAAAACATATAAATCAAAATTGAATTAAAAGTCAGTAAAATAGTTTCAGTTACATTATAATAAAAAAATTAATCAAAGGTCTAAACAAAAATGAAAAAAGTCAAATGTATTTGTAAATAACTTTTTAATATTTACATGCAAATAATGTTCTTAATCTTTGCATACGAGATCTCACCTTACCTTGTTTTCATCATTCTGTCTACCATAAGAGAGATTTCGAAGAGTACCACAGGCATTCCGCTGGATTTCAGGGATGTCCTGGTTGAGCAATTCTATCAATAGTGGCATGCCACCTAAGGCCCTTTCACATAGCATAAAAATTTGAATTACAGTCATGTTCACATTCATATGATTCTCACTCAACTAAATGAAGTTCAGACAATCAAGTTCATCAGTGCATAGTTATATTTCTATTTCAGTTATAAATGTTAAACAATATGCAGAAACCTACTCACGTTACTGAGTAAGGTATGACTTTTTAAGTGCTCATGCATTCTCCAAGCAGTTGGTGCTTAGCTATTATACAGCATACTACATCTGTTCCTTGTAAAAAATATACAAACAAAGATTTAATTTACTATATAAAAATTTATTCCCTAACTTATGAAATAGTGGGAAATATATAGTATTAAATGATATTTAGGGTGACCAATTCATTCCCTAGGGCAGGTTGGCTTCCAGTTATTTTGGCTATTTACAAATCTGGTCTAATTTGATGTATTTAAAGATTTAAGGGACATTTTTTTATCATTTGTGATAATAGATTTACTTACCTAGTTTTCTGCTTCATATGATCATCATTATAGCACAGATGCTGAAGGTAACCATTTTATCATTTGTGGTCGTAGATTTACTTACCTAGTTTTCTGCTTCATATGATCATCATTATAGCACAGATGCTGAAGGTAACCATTTTATCATTTGTGGTCGTAGATTTACTTACCTAGTTTTCTGCTTCATATGATCATCATTATAGTACAGATGCTGAAGGTAACCATTTTATCATTTGTGGTCGTAGATTTACTTACCTAGTTTTCTGCTTCATATGATCATCATTATAGCACAGATGCTGAAGGTAACCTGCAGCATTCGCTCGTATCACATTGTTTGGGTGACCCAAAAATTCTATAACTTCATGAAGATCTGGATCTCTCCATCGTACATCTGTTTACAAAATACATTTAAAAATCTGAAGAAAAGCTATGTGAGAAGGGAAATCAATAGGCACAGTTTATAAACACTATTAATTATACTGAATTTATTACTAAAATACTAAAACTTCACAGTTGGGATATTCTGTGTTTATGCTATAGCAATGAGAATAAAAGATTATTGTTATGACAAAGAAATGTTAATTATTAAAATTGGTTTTGCAATAAAGTTTTTTTTGAAATCATTATAATATACATACCTTCAGGTTCAAACTCTACTGGAAGTTGACATGGTGGAGGTGGTGGATGTTGTGTTTCAGGTAGAAGACCTTTACCTCCACTTTCTTGGAACACAGTCCTTGATTCTGGAGAATAAAAATGTGGAAGGTGGGTAGTAATATCTTGTGAAGGGAGTTGATCATCATAGCTAGGCCTTCTGTCCAAGTACCCCTGAGGTGAAGGTGCTGTCTCACAAGAGTTGTAACCTGGGGTTCCTGAGTACCCATAGGGACCTGGAAGGATGATCTTAGATACTAATAAGTTAAATTTCAACTAAATATTTCATTTAAAAGCACAAATTATATTTGTAGACTAGAAAACAGTTATAAATAAGCAAAGATATTTCATTCATATTTTGAATATTTTTTTAACTTTATCCATTAGTATCAAGCTACAAAATGTCTAAACAGTTTGCAAAGATTAAAAATCAGCAAAATCATGGGCTAGGCTGATCTTACAAACTTTTTAAAATATACTTCAAAATAGAAAAATAAAATAATCATAGCCAGAAATAGCACAATAGAATAATAGATTCAAATTATTGATGTCAGTATAATCACTTCTATCACAAGTTTTCAAAATGTTTATACTTTTTTTTTCTATTGCCAAACTCAAAATACTTTCTTAATCAACAATAACCAATGTCTGCTGAGCAAAAAGAGTGAAGCATTTAATCATAAACTTTATCCATTGTTTAAACTTTCTATCATTAGAAGTGGTGATTCAAGTATTGAATATTTTCTTTTCAGTGATTAAGGTGGTTTTCCTGATTTTGTAGGACTTTTAAATAGAGAGATTATCATCTTCCAAATTCAGCTACTAGCTTATGAAATCCCGGTAGTTAATATGAAATGTACATTAAAATTTATGATTAATACTTTAAAAACACTGAACATTTTACATACATAATAGTAATAATAATAATAAATTAACATAAACTGTACAATAGTTTGGATTAACTTGTGAGTGTTAGTCATAACAACTACTAAACTTTTCAGAATCAATGAAACACTCATAGGCATTTGAGTTTAGTAGCTGGACTAATGCCTTTCATACTACTTATTGCCAATAAAATAATGCATCTAATGTAGGCACATGCTTTTTTAATTTTTCGTTAAAACTAATTTTTTCTTGTTTACATTTAATACACAGAGCACCGTTTTTACTGGATATGTATCATAAAAGATTTACCAAATCTTTCTGCTATAGGTTGAGCTGTAGAGGGAGTTTTACCAGATCTGTCTTGGTATCCTCCCCTAGGTGGAACAAGTGTAGATCCACTAAACTCATTATACCCTGAAGGTCTGTGATTGTATTCTGACTGAGTTAGATGAAGACTCTGGGACACTGCACAATGCAGAGGATGTGACTCTGATGCTCCTGATGGAGGAGAAGGAGGTTGTTCAGGGTAGCCCTGACAGCTGTAATCTGGAAGTCCTTGTCCACTTGATGAAAGGTGTGTTTCATGGCCCCTTGCAGGCCCTGGAGGAGTTCTGTCATATGGCCCAAATCCCGGATGATAACCTCCTGTTGGTATCTGACCGACAGGACTAATAAGCTGACCTTTTCACCAAACATATCATGAGAAAAATGAAAAGAATTAAATCAAAAAAAGAAGATATGATTTTAAAAATAAATAATTTAAAGCTTGTGCTGGTAAACATCAAATATTGTAACAAATTAAACACTACAATAGCCATGATCCTTCCACTGTCATCAATGGTAGATCAAAGTTTACCACTGATGAGTCAAGATCAGAATGAGGTTCCAACACTTCACATATATTTTAACAATACATTCAATTACAATAGTCACATTACAGCAACACCACTAAATTATGCACTTTGGGATTTACAATTTTACACAGAAAAGTCATTATCGAAACAACTTTTCAGTTAATGCAAAACAAAATACACGTTATTCCCTAATCAGTATCCAAGATTACTTAGTTACTTTTACTGATGTTGCTTTAGCTTTCTCTTACATTAAGAATTATTCTACAGTTACACACCATCCCCATTTCAAGGCACATCCATGTTTTGGAAACCACAAGTCCTTTAATTTCCATAATTTCTAAACCAGAAAAACCTTATAAGTCTTATGTTTCCACTAAGCTGACAATTATCCATGAGAAGAAAATAGGAAAACCCTGCAAAAACCTCTGTCACTCAATCCTTTGCAAAGACAACCACACCCAGGATAAAATGCTCCTATTCTATCAGGCCTTCACCATCTACAGTGAATCTTCAATTCTTCAGTGAAGCCAGTTCACTCAGTGTGCTGACACTCACAATTGATACTAATAATTTATTTCTTTACTCTTTGCAACATAAAACTCAAACTCAGAAGAACTAGACAGCACACACTGTGATGACACTGAACCAACACTACTAACTCCACATATCTTCTGGAATAGAGTAATTCCCATTCCCAACCCAGCTCCTTATAGCCCTGCCTAATTTACATACACTTATGCAACACAACAAGATTGCTGTGCCACTCATTTGGGGACCATCCACCAATTTTGGAATGTAACTGTCACATATTTTACAATATGTTTTGTTAGGAGAGACTGAATTTAAGATACATTAAATCATATTTTTATTTTATGTTTTACAATAATCACAATATTCAAATAATTTCATAGGTACTGGATCGTTATCTTCAGAGTGATTGTTTTAATCATCTTACTATCATATCTTTCAGGGAATACTATGTAAATTCAACTTCTTCTGTTTAACCCTTGTCTGTAAAATATGGTTCAAGAACCCCAGTAATGATGCATTACAAATTTGTTGTAAAGCTTGTGCTACTGTAAATGTTGGATTTCTTAGCTATTGTGCTTAATTACCTTTTAGCAGATATTAAGTGTATACTGGAGCACTCGCATGCATCAAGTGACATCAGCTTGTACCTCAAGTTTGCAGATAAGAGTCAAGAGTTCAATGATAAAAAGCTATTACTTAAAAACAACCTCACTATTTTGTCCATATTGAACAAACTATTGTTACGGAAGAGTTTATACTGACAGAAAGTTAATACAACTTGTAAACATTTGAGAGTATAATCATACACGTACTTTTATTGTTTAACTATTTATTTCAAACATTCATACAAAATTATTTGAAAAATATTTTATAATAACAAGCAAGTATATAATACTTCTAAAGCTGAAAATTCTCTGTGAAACTGTTTGGTGACATGAAAGATAAAGCTACCTACCTGCATCATATGACAGATAATTTTGAGTTTCATCTCCTGGCTTATTATAAGCATAGGTAGTATAGTCTGTATGTGAGAGAGGTTCATGCCCACTGATGTATGGTGAATAGTTAATGGCCTGTGGTTCTGTGTTGAAAGGTCTAACAGGGCAGCTACCAATCATTCTACTTCCAGAAGTAGCTTTTACCTAAAAGATGGTACAATAGGAACAAACTACACTACAGAACACAATTAAAGTCATTCTATAGATATTCGTTAACCAAAACCTTACTGGAGTCTAAGTTATCTATATATATAGAACTTTTTATCTATTTAGTTAAACTCATACAAAAATTTACCAGTCTCATATAGTTAGGAAATAATGTTATTCTTATGTCTATACTTTACAAATATAGTTCAACAAATCAAAGATACAGGTTTCAATGTTAGTGACTTCCATACACAAAAATTACTTTCATATAATTCATATATAACCTAATACATTTATTAAATAATGCATGTACATGCCACTAAAAGCTAATTTAATGAACTGAAATATTCTTTATTTTCATAAATAACAGCATTAAAACATCTCTCTGTAAGCATATTTTGTTTAAGTTTGTTTAAAGTAAAAGACCCACTAAATATATTGTTCCTTACAACAGAGGATCAGTGGTACCAAAGCACACCACAGCATTGCTCCAGCACCTGAAACTATAGCTGAATCCCGACACTTCAAAAACTAAATATATGTATGTAAAAAAGTTATTCATTTTACAACTGAAATTAAGTGTCTTTCAAACATTACAGAATTTGTCAAACAAGCATATTATGCATATTTTGGAATAAAACTTGGGGACCAAGACAAATCATGGGCTCTGCACAAAGTTTGCACCATTTGTGTCAAGGAGTTGAGACAATGGACTAAAGGTAAGAAAATGTTTTTGCCTTTTGGAATTCCAATGGTCTGGCATGAGCTCAGAAACTACAGATGTGACTACTATTTTTGCTTATGTAACGTGCAAGGCTACAACACTAAAATGAAAATGAAATTTCATATCCAAACCTTCTATCTGCCATAAGACCTGTTGCTCATGAACCTGATGTACCTGTACCTACTCCACCAGAAACTCTTGATACAGTTTCATCTGGTTCTGAAGTCAATAGAAGTGATGATAGAGATTGTTTTTAACCTGAAACATCTGGAAAGGTTTCATCAAGACATCAGGGAAATGGAGAGGAGGTATCAGGGAAGGTGGAACATCAGCAAGATGGCTGATTACTACTGGTCATTGAAACGAGATGCTCCAGACGCAATAAATAAAAGAAAGACCACAATACATAGTTTTGAGACTAAAAGACGTATATTTCACACAAAAAAAATAGGATGAATGAGGATGCATATTCATTT